GGGGAGGTGCTGTACTAATAAAAAATATTAATTTCTTCCTGAAAAAATAAATCAAAATACAGTGTGCAAACAATATCATAATAGAATATGCATGGACATGCATACTCAAGATGGACAACACACATACACTTGTAAGAAAGCATTAATAAAGTAAAACTCACTTTAACTAATTTAAGTTGCAGTGAATGGTTGTAGCAATTATTAGACCAAATAATAGCTCGAAGTTCCATTACCATACAAAAAATTGAATAAATAATCGACACAAAGTTTTATTTTCTTTAAATAACCATAGAATATCGGTAAATTCAGAAGAGAGTTTAAGGAATTATTGGTAGCATACCGAATATATCTATCCCGAGCTGGACATAAATCGGAGAGAAAAATCCATCAACAAAATGAATGAACCACCAGGTTATGTAGAAGGTGATCGCTATAGGGAAAAGGATGACACTGCCACGCATCCCAAAAAAAAAAGAAAGAAGTAAGCATCCATAAATTAGATTAATTAAATCAGAACAATAAATAGTAGCATATGAAAACATTGCTCTCCTCTACACCACTAATGCCCACAAAAAATAAATATTAGCTGTTTTTATAATAAATTGATTCAGGAAACTTTCCAAAAACATAAACTTTAAGGTTTTAAATTTGGTTGTGCCAGGTTTGTTAACTGGATTTGTGTGTGATTAAAGTTTCACCTAAAATGTAACTATTTTAACTTGACTTGGCCAGAGAGAGCTAAAGATGTGAAAGATTAAAGTCCAGTTAACTCCTGATCCCAATAACAATGACTCTCCAAAAAGTTGTGAACTAATAAACTTGATCTACTTCTGAAACTATTACAAGCTTATTTAACAAAATTCAAGCCCTTTGATAGAGACGCCCAATTTAATAGTTATATTACTCTTGGCTGGATTATTTCAGACATTTTTAGTAATTGAACTCCAGTTTATTTTTATTTTGGAAGACACATACATACCACATAATTCCTAAGTATTTACATATCAAATCCCTAAACTTTAAGTTAATCTACAGCACTGTACCTATGCACGAAAAGGAGGTTTCACCTTTTAAAAGTTAGTAATGGCAGTATTTTAATGCAATATGAAAATTTTTAGTGTTATAAACTTAAAAATTAAATTTTAGGTGTTAGATATATAAAAACATAGGAATTTTCAGGAATGTATATAAACGCACTGTCTATTTTTGTCATGTGTATTAGACATTTCTGTTTATGCCATCTATTTCATCTGTGCATTACTATCTATCAATATCAAGCCAATGTTATGTTTCATAAGGAAATCCAAAACGCTTTTCTGCATCAAATTTGATATCAAAACAAATAATTCTACATCAATGGTGATTTATCTTCTAATTTTATGACATTATTTTCAGATTTAAGGAATTAACCTCCTCTTCAAATGCATTATTTCCCTTATGCATTGATCAAACTTCCCCTTCTCTGGTGTGTGAATCCAACCAAATATTTATTCTCCAAGTTATCTTCCAAGCAGTTGACCTCTTCTTAATCCCTTTTCCCCAACAGCCCACTCTCTCCATCACGATAAATCTTCATAAAAAATTTAGATCTCTAGCTATTTTATAACAAATCTAAACAATGCCTAGTTCAAATTTAAATAAATATATCCTATGCCGCACCAAATTACCAACCGGCATCAAGATCAATGGCTCAAACAACAACAACAAGCCTTCATCCCGGTCGGCTACATGAATCCTTTTTTTCTCCATTGTGACCTATTGAGAGTCATAATTTCATTTAATTCTTATAAATTAAGATCATTTTCCATTAAACATGTCTAAGTCTTTTTAGGTCTACCTCTACCCTTGTAAACATAAGTAAAATCTAATACATCTACTTTCCTAACTGGGTCATCAGATGGTTGATGTTTAATGTGACTAAACCATCTAAATAAACTCTCTCTAATCTTGTCTGCCACTGGAACTACTCGAACACTTTCACAAGTTTATTAGATTCGCACTTTGACTGTAAGTGTAAAATCACTCATCTGCCAGAGCCTTCTCATCTCAGCAACACTTAACTTAATTCATGTTTTTCTTTCACAAACTAACATTCTACTTCATAAAACATCGCAAGTTTCACCACCATTTTATAAATTTTTCCTTCAAGTCTAAGAGGTACTTTTCTATTCTATCACAAAATAGGACTGATGCATTCCTCCACTTCAACCATCCAACTTGAATTCTACTAATAACATCTCCATCTGCATCACCATCACTTTGAACAATAGACACAATATCAATGACTCAATAACCCCCTTTTAAGTTTTTGATCAAAACAAAACTCACAAACTCCCATCATCTTAAAATAAAGCTAACAACAAACACCCTCTCCTAAACAAGTTCTATCTCCCCTCTCTTCAAGGAATTTTCCCTCTTCCTCCTTCAAGTGTGCCTCCAATTGGAAGCTTTCTTCCATTCTTTTTTCTTCAAGGAGAACAAAATTAAAGAAGTTTAAATCACATCTAGAAAACTAATCTTATCAAACTGCCTTCTCTCCAAATCAATCATCTCTCTTTCATCTACAAGGTTGATATCTTCCTTGGCCCTTGTTCGTACTCAAGAAATTCAAATCTCCTTCCTTAAGGGAATAAATTCAAGTAAAAAATTGGAGTGTTTTACGAATCAAGGTATTTTACTTCAAGTTGAATGTTTAACTTAGCCAATCACATAATATTCTAGGGCCAAGTCAACTTTATTGTAATTTTTGCAGTTAAATTCACTAAGTTAAAAATTAAGTCTGGATTGTGTATACAATACATTACATTACAAGCGAAATTAAATCATGTATACAATACAGTACATTACAAGCGAAATTAAATCATGTATACAATATAATCAAAAATAAAACCTTAGGGAAAGAAATTACAAAATTGACTTGAGTATTATGATAGGTTTGTAGAGTTAGCAGACATGCAACCTAAGTGAAAGCATAGGCTCCATATTCTAATTTGTCGATGGCCTTAAACAAACATTAAAAAATAAATAAATAAATAAATAAAACCTTTAAAAGCCTATAAAGGAAGCTTACAAGAGAACTATAAACCTTGAAAAGCCTATAAAGGAAGCTTACAAGAGAACTATAAAATTTGGAAGGTGTCTCAGTTTCTTCCCTGTTAGAATGTTGCACTTTTGTTTGAAGAGCCTATAAAGGAAGCTTACAAGAGAACTATAGGATTTGGAAGGTGTCTCAGTTTCCTCACTGTTAGACTGTTGCATTTTTGTTTATTGCCACAAGGAAATATCTTGTACAATCATTATCACCTCTTGTTCAATGAACCATTGTTTTAGTTCGAAATATTAAGTTTCCTCCTTCACTGACCGTAGTGACCCAAAGAGCACGTTGAACCATTGGCAAGTGATCTTATGAACTAGAACTAAAAGGTGTGTTTGAAACATTTTTGAAGATATTAATTACTTGGCTGACAAAGGATCAAGTGACCCCTTATGACTTTTGGGCACATAAAATGGGAAATAAAATCTTAAACATTGCCTCCGGTTGAGATTGTTTACACTAATGCCAGCATTCGGACTACCTGTAAGCCTCCTGTTCAAAATATTTATAGTTTATTGCTTAGACAACTTCCAGGATTCAAATTTATCATATTTTGTTGAGTCAATCATTTTGACGAGGAATACCTAACTTTAGAGTAAATTATAGCTGCGTGGATAAATAGGAAATGTTATATAGACTTCATGGATTTTTTTTTTGTTTATAGTTATTTAAGACTGGTCATATTAAGTTCAATGATATTGTGGGTGATTCAACAGATAAGGTTCCTTTACTGCAAGCCCCATCGGCCTAGTGGTTGAGAGCTTTGTCTTTCAATCAAGAGATTCTAGATTTAAAGCTTTGCATATACGGGGAACATGTATTTTGGTGTGTTTGTGTTGTGAAAAAAAACAGATAGGGTTCCTTAAGAAATATAATGTTATGTTACAATATTTTCGGGTTACTGATGAATAAAAATATTTTGTGCTTGATTGAATTCCTCTGATTCCCTGTTTTGGGTGAGCTAAAAGAAGAGACGGTGAAATTGTGTCCCGCTAATTGGTTGTCTTTTTTCGGTTATTCTAATCTGCAGTCTCATCTACTTCAATTTATCTTTATTATCTAATCATCATTCAATTCATATTATTTCTGCACCAAGCTGTACATAAGGCCTTCCACAGTACAATCTTGTATCACCACATTAGCTTTTTTCTGCAACATGAATAGCTTTCTTTTGCCAATTAGCTGATTCAAAAACTTTTAGCGACAGTGATAACATGAACTCCTTCTATACATCATCCAGCATTCCCTCCTAAAAGAGGTTAAAGATTACTAAAAACAAAGGGACATTTACCTACATAGCACACAATTGTTATCTATTTACATATCTAACACCTAAACTTTCATATTTATAAACATAGCACTCAAATCTTTAATATCAAATCAAAAATAGCCCTATTACCACTTTTAAAAAGTGAAGTACACCATTTCTTGAATAAGTTTAAAATACCAAAATGCTATGCATGAAAATATGAAAATTTAAATGTGAGAAAGTAAATAAATAAGATTTGTGTGCTACATATGTAAATTTCCCCAAAAATAAAATAAGCAAAATAATTTCATTCTTAGGCCGTGTCAAAATACTATGAGATGGTAAGAACCTTTTTTTAATTTTTTATTTGTGAGGCCAAAAAAATTGAAATACTAAAAGGCTTCGGTCTGCAATGCGTGTAGCAAAAACAGACAACAATGCTCATTTAAGAATATAGGGAGCATGTATTTTACACTAGAATTGTTAATAAACATCACAAAATAAAATGACAAGCATTACAAGCATAAAATGGCAAATTGAATATAGATTCGCGAGCCATCGATTCATTCAGAATAATAAATGCAAATGAAAGTGAGGAAAATAAATAAATTAATTTATGCAACAAGCTTGGTAGAGAAGTGACCAAACAGACTAAAAAAAAATTGTTTGAGCAAGATTTTCAAGTGATAGGATAGCACCCCATAACATTTTTATACATATTTCGACAGAAATCACTAAGAAAAAAAAATTATGTAATAGAGAATGTAGAATAACAGCCATTTCAAATGTTATAAGAATAAATGGAAAATAAAACTTGAGTTTGGAACAGAGAACGGAGAACTGACCATCCAGTCATAAACTTTTTTGATGCCCAACTACGGAAAACTTTATAAAATGCCTGCATGGTACGTCAAATAGTTAACAATGAGGATCTAGAGAGAAAAAAAAATGCAGAAGAAATAGGAAAGTTGAAGTTAGAAAAATCCTAGTACATAAAGACAAACTCCAGGCAATTAATCTCGTTGGCCTTGAAAATCTTGGAATAAACTATGCATCAAAGAATGGAACTTACCATTCTTCTGGTTTGATTAGAAGTAAAATATCAACTTTACATATTAATCAGACTTTGTTTTCAAAAAGAAAAAAAAAACACCTTTTTTTATTTCTCCTGCATGCAGCAAACCTCACTAATGGTCTAAAAAATGAACCTTTAAAAGTAATGATGATTATAATCAATTCTTTCTTAAAAAATGAGATATAAATCAAAAAGCATGCTTTAGTTGGGAAAGCAATTCATGTATATTGATTCTTAATTTGTGTCACTATTTTATTTGGAGTGCAAAAGCATAAATTTGATGCTGGCAAACATATAAACTAGTTCCATTCTCTATTATTTTGAATAATATGTTAGATCTAACTCATAACTTCAAGCTATTATTTTGATCCATCGTGCCTTAATTAAGCCCGACTAAAGATATATGCAATGTTAATTTAGACATATAATGTCATCATCAAAGATAAATACTTATAACTGTTCATCGAATTTAAGGTAACTCAAAATGTATTACTTTCAATTTAATTTTTAAAATTCAAATGCTAATTTGCTAAACATAAAGTTTAAACTATTCCTTCATAACATATTCCTTTTATAATATACAACATTAAGAAAATGCATAGTTCAGAAGACAGTTGATTCACTCGTTAAAAAAGCCACTAATCCATTATAAAACACAAATTTAATGAAGCTCTCAAGTACATATTTGTTGAACAACAGAAACATATCAATATCAGAATTAAGTGAGAATGCCAATGTTCAACATATACATTTCAATGTCAAGCTTCTATGAACTTGCCCAAGCTTTTAAATTACGCAAATAAAATAAGACAACTGAGTTTTAAAAGAAAACGTAACAATTAGCTAACACCCCAAGACATCCAGCTGCTATCGTCTCCAAGGAACAATGCCCTAATGCCGAAGATTAATCCAGGTAAACTTCTAAAAAGAAGGAAAAAAAAACTATAGAAGTTCAAACCTAAACCTAAATCTTAGAACACGACAAAAAATCAAAACAAGAAGCAAACAGAAACAAAACGTCACCGTAAACCTAAGGAAAAGTCCTTTTTCCAGCCAGAATCAAACCAATCAATCACTCGTGAAAGAAATTGCAGCAACCATAAGACCTCACATCAAGCCAGTGCAACCTAAATATCTAACCCAAAGTCTCGCTGAATCAAACCAAAATTGATCGACTATGAACGAGAGTTAAGTGCATCGTTCTTGCCTCTCTGCCGGAGTGATGATGGCGGTTGTGTAACAGTCCAGAAGACGATGAAGGTGAGGAAACCTTAATATCGGCTTCGGCGGCAGGATCGCCGGCGACGGGGATAAGTAGTTCTCGATCTCTCTCTCTGCTCCCCATAGCTGTCGAAGCTTTGTCGTCCCCCATCAACCTAACCCCTTTCCGTTCTCCCTTCGGTCCTCCGTCTTCCATCCTAAAGTAAACGCGAAACCATTGAAGTGTACAAGCGTTGGGAATTCCCCGCACGAAGTTTCTTCAGAGTGGCGAGGGAAGAAGAAAGGAATAAGTGGGAGCTTTGACACATAATTCAGATTCATACAAGTGTAGTTTGATTACAGATTCGTTGATTTGCTCTTCATACTTTATTGATATATTCTCTTATAATTTAAATATATGATATTTATCATTTTTTATTATCAAATTTTAACTCTAAAATAACATTATCCATCTTTTATTATTATTATTTTTTTATAATTAATATTGTTATTCACAAGTCTATTGTAATTTTATTGAGACTATTTTTTCATCTTTAATCAAAATGAATATTGTAGTTCAATGTTTAGTCCAGGCAACGTTTTAAACCGCGGTGCACAACCTCATCACAATTTATGTCGTTTGGCAAAACACAGTTTTGACTGCACATTTTGAGTGTTTGGGGCAGCTGCAGCTTATCGAATAATCTGCTGATAAGCTAGGTGCGGTGGCTATTACAATTTTTTTATTTTTTTGGAAAAGCAAGACCGCGGCCAGAATGCTGCCACCGCACATAAATAGGTGCGGTATGAAAACGTTATTTTTAGCGTTTTGAAAATGCATAAGCTTCCAAAACACAGTTTGCCCAAAACATGTCATGTGCGTTTTCAATACGCCACCGCACCAAATAAACTGTCCCAGACGGAACCTTTGTCTGTTTTTTTCAAAAATCTGTGGTGTAAAACTGTGTTTTGTGGTGATTGTTAGAAAAGATTTAACTTTTTTTTAAAAAAAAAAATTTTAATTACCACCATAATTGTTTGAACAATAATTTTATTTTTTACTTCAAACATCTATAATTATTCCTAAGAGACCATGGAGCATTGTCACGAGGAAGCATGTGAAGGGAAGTGCATCATTTAAGTACCTGCTTTCTTATTATAAGGCTTACAAAATCACTAAGAATTTAAATTCAAATAAAAAGCTCTCATATTTATACCATGGAAGATTACATATATACCTCTAAACTCGTATATATTTATATATCTAAAATCTAAAATTTCATTTCTACATATATATTCCACCTTAACAAATACAAGAAAAGTTTGTCACTTTTTTAGAAGTTAAAATAGTCTTATTTCTTTCTTGGTACGAAAGATTTTGGGTGGTATGAATGTAAAATGTAGAGTTTGGGTGTTACGTAAGTAGCTAGATAGGAATTGGGTGGTATGTATGTAAATGGCCCTTATATAATTCATGTAAACAAACACCCTCATTTTTTGGCGCTCATTTTCTGTCCAGACATCTGACGTACCTCTACTTGTGGTATAGGTTATTCTTGAAATATTTTCAGGTTATTTCTGAGTTATTTTCAATAATCCTGAAATAACCCAAAAATAACACAAACATAAAGATCGCGGGTTATTTATGGATTATTTCCCGATTATGGAAAATAATCCAGAAATAACCTGAAAATAACTCTGGAATACCCCACGTAGAGCTATGTCAGGAGTCCGCACAGCAAAATTTTTGCATTTTTGGAGATATCGGCTTTCTAAGGCTTAAGAAATCAGCGAGGTTTGCATATAAAGGTTTGCACTTCATATTTCTTCGTTCATGGAGTGGGCTGTAGATGAATAAAAAAAATTGCAGGGATCCTAATGGAACTAGATTTTGATTTGACTTGTATAGAAGAATTTGATAACCATTTTATATATGATCTCAAACTTAACTATAAAAAACCAAATTGCTTAACAAAAAGCTTAATGGAATTATTTCCCTCAGGCAATGGTTGGGTTGTGAGCTGTGGGCTAAGAAACCTATTAATAAGCACTTCGCGCCTAGAAAGCCCTTTTTTTCTAGAGCGCAGTCAGGATGAACAATCGAGTTCACTCATCAGCCATCATGTATCAATTGTTGGGTTGACCTACTAAATTCATCAGTCGAAATGCCACCTCTTATGCATTAATTGTCGGGTTAACCTATCATATTTATCTGTTGAAGTACTAACTGTCGGTTTGACTCACCACACCCATTTGTTGAAGTGTCGGTTGTCGAGCTCACCTATTGAGTTGATTCATCAGATACCAGTTGTTGAGTTGATCTGTCAAAATAGCCCGCCCTGCTCTCTTCTCAGGGCATCTATTGTCAGACTTAACTATAGGACAGGTATTACCAACAAGGAGAAGATGGGCATGTTTGTGTCTATTTATGAGTCGTCTGACACCCACATCATTGTAATCTTTCATTGGTACTATGTGAGTGAACCTTATATTGTATTATGACATTTTAATATTCCTTCATTGAAGCTCGATGAGGGGGAGAGGTCACCTCAAGTCATATATATACAGATAATCCCTTTCTGAGATCAAGAGTGATACGTCTTGAATAAATTTCTAACATCTGACACAAATCTCAAAGCATGACACGAATCTCGATATACATTTTTAAGAAAGAAATGTTCAAGTTTTAATAAAAATTCATCCAGCACTCTAATTTCAACAACTTATAGTCAAGCTGACAGGTTCGACGAGACGAACCCAATGGTACCAACTTTAAATCCAATATGAACCAATCAGAGCCTCAATCAAGTCATTAAACAACATTTGAAAGTTTTTTTGACACGTTTGGAAGATTAAATGGATGTTAAATTTAGCGAGTTTATAGTCAAATCAAGTGTATTCGTAAGAAGAATCCAATGAGCCCAAAATCGCTCAATTCTGACATCATTAAAACACTCAAACGTCCATTAAATACAATTTAATTAAGGGAAGCCCTCTAAGTCATTTAGTCAAAGTGGTTCCTACTTTAGCATTAATTGCACCAAAAACTCCATAAATAGAACCCCGCCCCTCTCATGAGAGGGTAAGACAAATTGAAGCTTTGAGGAGCTGAAGTTTAGCACCACTCGATCATTGCCAACTATTGTCGTCCACCTCCAACAGTCGTAGACCACCTTCGACAACCTGTGATTTTCGCTGACTACGGTCGGCTACCAC